CTTTCCCACAAAAGAGTTTCCAGATCAAATTACCTTTGCTTTCTTTCATTTCAATTAGCAAAACTTTAAACCAAAGTTTTATCGCTAGATATTACCTGTCTGCCACTATAATGTACTACCACTAGCTAACTACTGGTACCATTCTGTTTTGCCATTAGTTGACCATTAAAAAAATAATTCCAGTTGAATGTAAGCCCTAATGTCTAATTAACCATACCAAGATTGTTGGCGTCGGTGACATTCTCCGTGCCGTCTCCATCGTATTTAATGACTAGGTGCGGCTCGCAGTCGTCGTTGTTCTCAACGTTGACGTTGTTCGTCCTTTCGCATTTTTCCGGCAACTCTTCGATGAACAACTCCTCCACGTCGAAAACAACGACATCGTCTCCCATGAAAATATCATTACCATTCTCCACCTCTTCAACTCCCACATCGCCGTTGCTTGTGTATGAGACATTGAGGTCGAACCCAAATAAACAAGTTCGTTCAGCTCCCACCCCGTCGACGTTGCTCATGTAGCCGTTCATTATCTCGGCGGCAACAATAAGGTATTTTCGGAGATGTGTAGCTACCAGACCTGTCGTTGCTTTTGCTAATAAAATATCTGGAAATGGTAGGGGAAGAGACGCAGATGATTATGGTTAGTCGAAATGCATCCCACCAATCACGTTGCAAAATATTTCCACATGCATTTATTTTTTATTTTCAAATTATTTTCATTAAGCTAGTTACTAAAAAGCCCTTGCTGCGTTATGAACCATCAGATGGAGAAGCCAGATGGGAGATAGACAGCTGGGAAGAGGGAAGCTAAACTCACAATTCGTGCTGGGAAGTGACGCTATCCTATGGGAGTAAAAAATTGAATTGTTTAGGAACATAAATGGGCTGCCATTGGGCTCGACGAGTGGACAGAAGACAAGTGAGCTCTCTTATTAAAGGCCCATCGTCAGCCCAAGAGTGAGAAATTACCACCAAAGTTTACTGCGCAACGGGATTAATAAAAAGATTAAAATCCTGGATCGCCGACAGATTGAACGCTTTTCGGTAAGTGGAAGGATAAATTCTAGAACTCTGTGCTCGGCTTCCAATTGGTCCACTTTTTATGTTACTATTATATTAACCAGCCAGTCAAAGAACCACAGCTCTACCGCTCAGTCGAACCAATCTAGTTATGCTCCTAACAGGTCATTTTGTTAGGAGATACTGATAGGGTTAGATGGGCAGCCACGTCTCCAAGCCACGATCCAGCGGTGGAGGTAGATTGGCGCCAGCATGTGAGGGAGGAGAGCCGAGTCCATCGGCTGGCCCAAGCCTACAGGAAAAAAAATGGGGCCCACCAGGCCCCCAAATTCAAAAAACACCACTTTTTTTTACTCAAAACCCTCCCCTCTCTAATCTTTCTCCACCAGACACGTTTTCCCCCTCTCTCTCCAAAAATCAATTGTTTTCACTCCCTCTCTCTTTCCTCTCCCTCTCCCTTTCCTCTCCCGATAACGACGACGGCGGCCAGGTTGGTTTGACGGCGGCGACGGTGCAGACGAAGCGGCGGCGACGAAAGGGTTGGTTGACGGCGGCTAAGGTGCAGACGAAGCAGGCTTATTTTGACAGTGCAGACGAAGCGGCGCGCGACGAAGGGTTGGTTGACGGCGGTCGTTGACGAAAGAACTACTTCGTTGACTGAGGTAGCAGAGTTTTTTTCCCATTTGTTCATGGATACTCATGTTCGTTTGAGTAGATTGAGTTAAGGTTGCATAGCTTCGACTAGATCTGAGTTTTTCTTTTCCTACATTTTTTTTTCCGATGGGTTTGATGGATTTGTTTTCTGTTAACTTAGATTTGACTGGATCTGGGTTGCTTTCTTTTGTGGATTTTGTGGATATGTTTTCTGAGTTTGTGGATTTGATTGGATCTGGGTCTGGGTTGCTAGGTTTGTGGATTTTGTGGATTTGACTAGATCTGGGTTGCTTTGTTTTCTGGGTTTTGTGGATATGTTTGGTGTGCGTTCCGATATTAGTTTTGTTCAGGAAGGATATCAGTTTTCAATTGCATGGATAGTTGTGTGGTTGGGATCTAGGATTCGATTTGTAGATCTGGAATATTAGTTCCTTTCATAGTGGATAACAATTAGCATGCTTGGGATCCTACTTTTTGATGATGTGGATATTGTTATTTAATTGATCATTCAGATATTAGTTATGTGATGTCTGGATATTTGTTTACTCTGTCTTGATATTTCTCTGCCCTATATGGATGTTAGTTCACTTATATTTGTTTTGCGCGGTTGAGATATTTGTTATATTATGTCTGGATACTTATTTGTTTGTATCTGGATATTACTTCTATTATGTTAGTTTTGTGATGTCCAGATATTAAAAATATTATGTCTGGATATTTGTCCTCCATGTTTGGATATTTGTCTGCTTTTTATTGGATATTTTTCTATGTTTACCAAATATTTGTATGTGCTTCAGGGATTTTGCATAATGGAAGACAAGGAGCACTCATTGCGGCTAATCTCTTACTCTGGCACTATAATGCCCATGTAGTTGGGATTAGACATGGGGTATTTGGGATTCAATTTGTTGATGATGTGGATTCTAGTATGCAATTGGTTGTCCAGATATTAGTTATGCTATCTATTGATATTTTTTTCTCCCAATCAGGATATTACTCTGCCATGTATGGATATTAGTGTCCTGATACTTGAAAACCAGTGTTTTGTTATGGAATACATTTTGTGATTTGGGGATGCTAAATACTAGTTCATTTCAACAATAATATAAATTAAGTAGATAAATATCCACACAAAACAGATATCCAAACAACACAGACTAATGTCTAACCATCACATACTAATATCCATTCACACAAAACAAATACCCAAACCACCCAGCCTAAATATCCGAACGTCGCAAACTAATATCGGTTCAGCATAACAATTATCCACACCCCAAAATGGCATGATCGAACACGGAGGGCTTTGAGGGATATGATCAAAAATATTATCGAAAGTTTGGCCAAGCAAGACAACATTTGAACTATTCCTTTTTCATTTTTGTGGTTGTACTTTTACGGATTTTAGATTATGAGATTGCAAAGTTGGAATGACACTGAATACCAGTAGTATCGCGGTTTGTCGAAAAACGACTTTGTTTTGTTACGGATTTGTTAAAACTAAATATCAACACAAACAAACATAGATAAACACCATATAAAACAAATATCCAAACCAACCCAGACTAATATCCGACTTTGCAGACTAATATCCGTTCACAATAAAAAAAATGTCCACACCACCCAGACTAATATCTCACCGTTAAAGACTAATATCCGATGATACCATAATTTATATCATCACCATGATAGACTAATACCCACCACACACAGACTAATATCTAAACCCTAAATCAAAACCCGAACCCTAAACCGTAAACCCTAATTCTAAGTCCTAAAGTCTAAACCCTAACACTAAACCCTAAATTGATGTAATCATATACAAATAAGTAGATAAACACCACATAAAACAAATATCCAAACCCACCCAGACTTATATCCGTTCACAATAAAAAAAATGTCCACACCACCCAAACTAATATCCCACCCTCTAAGACTAATATCCGATGATACCATAATTAATATCGTTACCATTATAGACTAATACCCACCACACAGAGACTAATATCTAACCTCCCATCACATAATAATATCTTATCACCATAAACAAATATCGAACCACCCTACATTGTATTCATAAAAATTTCCACAATATCGTCTTTTAAAACCTAAATCAAATCCCAACCAACTACATATAAACTCTAAACCCTAATTCATAAAAAAATAAACCATAATCACTAAACCACAAAAACTAAATCCTAATTATAATCACTAAATCATAAACATAGATAAACACCACATAAAACAAATATCCAAACCAAACCAGACTAATATCCTTTCACAATAAAAAAAATGTCCACGCCACCCAGACTAATATCCCACCCTCTAAGACTAATATCCGATGATACCATAATTAATATTGTCACCATGATAGACTAATACCCACCACAGAGAGACTAATACCCACCACACACAGATTAATATATGGATGTCTTAGACTAATATCCGACTACACAGCAAAAATATCCACACATCATGAACTAATATCCTCCAATCACATAATAATATATTATCACCACACACTAAAATTGACCACCATACATTGTGTTCAAAATCATTTCCACAATATTTTCTTCTAAACCCGAAACCAAAACTCAAACCCTATACCTCAAACCCTAATTGTAGACACTAAACCCTTAACATTAAACCGTTACACAAACCCTAAACCATAAAACTATTATTATTTAATGGGCCTTCGGCCCATGGGCCCTCGGCGGGCAGCCCTAACTAAGGTTGCAAGCCTTACGTGTTAGGACTTCCTAGTGTGTTTAATTTCCTAGTGTGTTTAATTTGATGTAAGAAACAATATTCCAATCCTTCACAAATTGAAAACCGAACCATAAACCCTAAAACTTAACTCTAAATTGGTGTATTCAGTTTTGGGTGGTTGGGTTATTTTGGGGTTTGGTAAATATTAATTTAATGATGGATATTGGTTTGCGAAGGAAGAATGCTAGTTCATTTCAACAATGATGCAAAGTAATATCAACACAACACATAATAATATCGACTGAAAACAAATAAATATCCACACAAACAAACATACATATATATCACATGGGGCCCAAAAATTTCGTTCTCTTTCCACTCCAACCCAAAATCCCGCCCAAACTGAAGCCGGGCCCACCACGCCACTTGCTCGGCTCGCCTTCTGAGCCGCATACTGGGCCGGCTTCTACACGGAAGCCCATCTCCAGCTCATTTAAGTGAGCCACCACCCAGCCACCACTCTCCTCCATTGGATGAAGCCCAAGCAAACGTGGCCCAAAATCTGACCCTGTCAGTATCTCCTAACAAAATGGCCTGTTAGGAGACTAACTTTTTCGCTGTCGAACTCGCCTTATTCATTTCCCCTAGGGGTGGGCGTTCGGTCGGTTCGGTTTGAACCGAACCGAACCAGAACATCCCGAATTTCCGAGCTTCCCAAGACCCCGACCGAATTCGAACCGAGTTGTAATTCGGTTCGGTTCGACCGAACCGAATTACAACTCGGTTCGGCTCGGTTCGAATGGTCAAAACCGAAACTTTATATACCAACTCTCTCTCTCCCAGTCCCACATACCCTAACCCTCGCCGTTTCCCCATTTCGATCAAATCTCTCTCTCTCCCTCTCTCTCTCTCTCTCTCTCCCTCCCCCTTCCAACAAACGCAGTCGATGCAGAGAAGAAAGGAGCGGTGCTGCGATGGTGGTATCTCCTCCGTCTCCCGACTCAGCGACGAGCAGCGGTGCTGCGGTGGTCCTCTCCCCTACTTCCTTCTCCCCTCTTCTGCCGCAACATGAGATCTGGGTATCTAGCTCCATCAAACGTCGACGGCTCCCCCGGAGGTCGCTCTCCGCTCCTATTGACGCCCAGCTCCCCGCTCCCCCATCTAAAACAACACTTCTTCTTTACCTTCTCTCTAGCCCCAAATCTGTTCGTCTCATTTTTCCTTGGTGGGGTGACGCTAATGGGCGGCGGCGGCAAGAGGAAGAAGAGATTGCTCGGCATGTGGAGATGGGGCGGGCATAGCTCGCGGCAGGGGAGGCGGTGGTCCAATCCCGTCGACGGCGCCGGCAATGGAGGGAGTCAGATCTAGAATTGGGTAAGATCTTTTCGACATGCATGTGGGTTCCTCGTTTGATTATCAGTACTGATTTTGATGTATGTTGGTTTTAGGTTTGGATTTGGGGTTTCGGTATCAAGTTTCAGGTCAGGGAGCTCAACCATGGAAGAAGGCTACCGGCGGCGGCTGAGTATCTTTTGTTGGTTGGTTAGATTTAGGCTAAGGGAGTTAGGGTTGGGGGAGAGTTTGGGCTTGTATTTGTGTATGAACTGGGCTGTGTATGGACTGGGCTGGGTTTTGGTTGGGCTTTGGGGTCTGGGTTGGGGAGATTGTGAGTAGAATTTCGGTTGGTCGGTTCGAAATTCGGGAACTCGGTTCGGTCGTTACAACCTTGACTTCCGAATTAGGTCAATTCCTCTTCCGATTTCCGAACCGAACAACACTATTTCGGTTTCGGTTCGGTAGAAACTCGGTTCGGTCCGGTTCGGTTCGGGTTTACCGAACCGGATGCCCACCCCTAATTTCCCCCACTGCTCCTAGCTCTCTTCGTCTTCTTCATCCTCATCCGTGAGAAAAAAACCAGGGGGTGTTCTGAGGTAAGCGCGCGTCGTTTCTTGCTTCTTTCCTTCCACCACTTCCAGATATTCCGAAGACGATAACGCTCTTGATTCGGCTTGCCGCCACAAAATCTCGTCTCCGATCGGAGTTTATTGGCCATTTCTGTTGTTTTGTCGTTTCTCTGATTCTTCTTTCCCTGACGATATGTGTATTTTCGGTTCGATTTCTGGTCTTTTTTGTTGCTGTGTGACGGTTTCTTTCTCACTTGCTCGAGCATTCAGTCGAGCGATTCTGAGCTGGCGCTTTCTGCTTTGTTTGGCTGTGGATAGAGCGGTTGCTTCGTGGTCGTAGATCACGACATAGTTTCCTGATTGAACACTACTTTTGGTAAAGGATGACGTTGATGGCGAAGCTGATCTTTTAGAGACTGTAGTTAGTTCTTCTTACGCTTTAGCAGCTTAGCTTGTCGTTCTTATGGCGATGTATGTCTTGTAGAGACTGTAGTATGCGCTTTAAGCCTTGGCTTGTTGTTCTGTAGTTGTATTCTGACAACGATGGACTAGAGAGAGAGATTGAGTGCCCTGACAAATAATGAAGAGCGTGGTAGATTAAGTATCAGTTGAATGATATGCGGTAACTCTTTGCTTTTGGTATTTCATGGACTGATTGACGAACTAGAGTTTGTTGTAATCTGCAATTGGTTGGGTGCTTTCAGATGCCAGGATTGCAGCTCGTTTTTAACAGAAATCTTTTGGAACAGATTCCAGTTCTTGCCTTTTTTGGATAGTTGATTTGATTTCTTGGGCTTTAGCCTTGAGATGTGCTTATAGATTCGTTGTAGTGGTTATTTTCTGGTCTGAAATTGATGTGCAGTTTTAAATCCTGTCCATTTAGATCACATTAGAGCAAAATGGTGAAGGCAGTTGTTGTGCTTGGAAACAGCGATGGCGTCAAAGGGACTGTCTACTTCACCCAGGAAGGCGATGGTAAGAAATTGAATATGGTATTTACTCGGTGGGCATTTAAGTGTGATTTGTAGTCTCTTTTGTTTATCGTCCTGGCTTGGTTGCTCTTCAGGTCCTACCACCGTGACAGGAGACATCTCTGGTCTCAAGCCTGGGCTTCATGGCTTCCATGTCCACGCCATGGGAGATACAACAAACGGCTGCATGTCAACTGGTACATAGTAATCGCCCTTTGTGCTTACTCGTGGATTCTATGAGAATGCGTTATGCTCATCTTGCGCTTTTGCTTGTGCAGGCCCCCATTTCAATCCTCAGGGCAAAGAACATGGAGCTCCAGAGGATGAAGACCGCCATGCGGGTGACCTTGGAAATGTTACAGTTGGAGATGACGGTATGGCTTTTGATTGAATGATTCTCAAGTTCTGATTACCATGGTTGATGAATGTTCTTTTCTCATTTAAAGTATGGTTGATGAATGTTCTTTTCTCATTTAAAGTATGATAGGATTTGTTACTGAATATTGTCTTCAGGTACTGCAACTTTCACTATTGTTGACAAGCATATCCCTCTTACTGGTCCACACTCCATCATTGGGAGGGCTGTTGTTGTTCATGCTGATCCCGATGATCTTGGAAAGGGTATATATATCATTGCCCATTTATGTCTAAATATTATATCTCCAATTTTGATCTGTAAGTCACAAGAATTTGGTTATAGGGAATGCCGGTTTAGTGTCACCTATGCATTAAACTTCTAATGGTATTCGGGAATCTAGCACTCAGCTCGCTTCTGAGAGGCCTTAAATTGCTTCTTGCTGCGACATGAATGGATGATATAGGCATGCTATCCTTAATCTGCTGATACAGTCACGGCTTCCTAGGAGCTACGCTAGTGTTCAAGGCTTATTGGTCCGTGTTTCATTTCCCGATCTAAGCCTATGTGACTAATTGGATGCTTCTTTTTTTTGTTGTGTTAAAAACACAGGTGGACACGAGCTCAGCAAAAGCACTGGCAATGCTGGTGGAAGGATTGCCTGCGGTGAGTTTAGAATGATTCGAGTTGTTTAGATTGGAATGAGGTCATTCATTTGTATCTACCCGATTTGGGTACTGACCCGATTAATTATCTTCGACAGGCATTATCGGGCTGCAAGGTTAAGAAATTTGGTATCTCTCTGGTTTCCTCGGCTGCTTGAATAAATGGTAAAAATGCTCGATGAATGTTGAACGAGTCAATGTTGTCAAGGGAGAGAGAGATAATATGTGAGGGATAAGGAGAAACGGGGAAAAAGAATGAGAGAACCTTCTTGAATAAGAAAACAAGAACTGTACTATGGTGTACCTTTTTTATAGCTGGATTTCTGGTTAATGGTGTACCTTCTTCATAGCAGGATTTCTAGTTAATCTGCTTGTGTTTGATTTTTTTAGGGTTAATTACAAGTTTGGTCATTGGGTTTACTAAAAAGTTTCAAATCTGGTCTACTAAAAATATTTAATTCTATGTGTGGCCACTAAGATTAGTTTTATTAGTTTAAATTTGATCACTCTTCATAAGTCTCCGTTAAATTTATATGATGTGCCAGTTAACTTTAATAGTTGACCGTTAAATGAGTTACGGAGCAATTTAAAAAAATAATATTTTCAATTTCTAAAATTTCCATATCATTATCGGAGCCTTAAATAATAAAAAAAATAAATATTACACCTAGTAAGTGGTTGAGATTTTGTCGATTCACTTCATGCTCTCACAAACCAGTGTATCTTTTCCCCTTCTCTCCCATTTTCGAGCGACTCCAATTAGTACCCGAAATATTTCTCCAGGTAGAGGAAGAATGCGGACTAAGGAGGGGAGGTGTTTTTGGCGGTGAAATATAGCCAAAGTACTTCTCGCCAGCCTCGCCTACGTCTAGACCTGGGAATTGGGTCGGGTTGGGTTATTTCGGATTGGAGACTACGATTACGGGTTGGGTCATGTTTGGTTGGCTGGTTTCGAGTCAAATATTGACCCAATCCATTCGGTTTCGGGTCGGGTTATAGGTCATTTCGGATTATGAGCGTTCTTAGAAACAATATCAAACATGCTACATATTTTCTTAAAGAACACAATTTTTCACATATGCATGATAATAATTTACCTAACACATGTCAATTAACATATTCTCAAATCCTCCCATGCTAATGAAATGAAATACAAATTGTGCAAATCGTCAAAAAACAATCACAAGAGTAATACTACTACAAGAAACACATGATATTTGATTATCCTTAAACTCCAAACATGTCATTCAAATCCTTGTGACTTTTTTTAAACATCTCACCAATTTATGAGTGATTTTATCATTTTGGGAGTGATATATAAAATGAAACGGGTCTAACGGGTCGACCTGCTAACCCACCCAACCCGACCCAAAAAATCACGGGTTATCGGGTTCGGGTCATTCAGATTTCGGGTTACAAAAATTTCCAGATTTTGGGTTGTTTCGGGTCGGGTCAACGGGTCGAGTTGTAATTTGCCAGTTCTACCTCCGCCTGATTCTCCAGCCCAATCCATTGCCTTATCGACTCAACGTCTTGCTGCTCATCGTAGCAGTTGGATATTGCATCGATTCTTCAGATTTCTACCCCGCTTCTTCTTCAAGTGTGAAGGAAGGATGCAGAAGGCAGCCATCGATGAAGAGCTTCAGAGACAGAGTCGACCTGGGCTTCCCTTCACCTTTATCGAAGAAGAAGGAAAAGCTATCGCCCCATGACGCCGTTTCATCTAAGTAGTCAACCCTACAAGATAGAATGATGTCACTTAGTGGTCCAGTGAATAAGCATTGTCTCGCCACTTGGTGTGACATTAGTGGCTAGTATAACTACCGTTAATCTACAGTAGGATAACTTTACCTTTATGTTTTGTTGTGTATTGGTAAATCAGATAGAGCTCATCTGTATATAAACCTTTCAGAAAATGGAAGGAAGTTATTCTGGCAAATTCCCCAACGATGCTTTTCCGTTTTCCTTTCATTTCTGCCCTAATTCTCTGCTAGGGTTTCAAGCTTTCTCATGGTATCAAAGAGCCGTTGCTGATCTAGATCGGTTCTCTCTTTCATTTTCTTCTTTTTCGAGTTTCTGAACCAAGTTTCTTGGTCTCATAATGGGTGATCAAGCTTCGCCGCAGTCTGGGGCGTCCACCACTACGACCCAGGCGTCTCCTTCACACAAACATTCCCCCCTCTCCATTATTGTTTTATCTTAGCCTCAGATTTATCAGCAGGTAGTGCACATCCCTTGTTGGAACAATGCTATGAATGGAGAAATGACAGCTTTGGATGCCAACAGAACTTGAGATGTGGTTGTGATAGCGTTGTATTTGCACATGTTTTCACCCTTGTTTCCTGACCATTCTAGCTCGAATTGATTGTTCCTAGGCCTATTTTACGCTAGGTTGTGTTGTTTTGTCGTATTTCAGGTCTTAGCAAGTAAAGAGGTGCATAGACGCAAGTTTCGGGTCATTTGGAGGTGAGATGGCGATTCAAAGAGCAAATTACGGGCAGCCCCTGCCAAATTACAGGCGTAATTGCTCCAGGCATGCCCGTAAATGAAATGTTGAGCCTAATTCTTCAGAAATCCTATCGCAGAGCCAATTACGGGCAAGAGTCACAGAATTATGGTCGTAATTCCATAATTACTGGCAGTAATTGGGTAATTACGGCCGTAAATCCCTTCTTCTGAGCTTAGTGAAACGCGCGTTTTGGGCAATTACGGGCAGACCATGATTACGACTGTAATTTAGCCCGTAATTCGCCCAGAATCGGGTTTTTGAGGCAGATTCGAGCCAAAGGAGAGGGAGTCGACTTTTTGGAGCAAAAACATAGCCCTAGAGAGAGAAAGTGCGAAGAACACATTCTAGAAGCGATCTTGGAGCTGGGTTTCATCAAATCGAGCTTGGAGATCATCATAGGAGTGAAAATCATCATCCCAGAGCAGATTCTTCCCATTGTTATGAGTATGACTGCTTTGTATTTTGTTTTCTTCTCTCTCTCTATGGAGTAGAACTCTCTCTCACTTGGCTATGAAGAACCCTAGTTCCATGTGTTAGGAATCTTGATTGTAATTACGTTTGGATTGTGATATTGCTTGATTATAATCGATTGAAGTGTTCTGAATGAGTCAATTGAAGTCTGATCACCTTTTATTGATTTCTGCTGCAACCTGAGATAGATAGAATCTGATTAGGTTGTTAGAGTTTCTTCAATTGGTAGTAGTGAATCGATTATACGAGAGTTAGTCGATTCACTGCTTTGTTACTGGAATCTAATTCCAGTAGTGGAGTTCTGTGTTCATAGCCTCGGCTTTCTATCCTGATGAAGACTAGTCGTCTGCCGGGTAGTTGGACTGAGAGGGCTTGGTCAGCTTAAGAGATTCCAAGCTACTGTCGGATCTTCCGCAGTATAATCAGCAGTAAAGCAACCAAAAGTAATTACAACTGGAACCTAACTAAGGAGCTAGGGGGACTCATTCCCGAGTGACTCTTCTTTTGCTTCAGAAAACCAAACCATTTCCTGCTTTCTTACTGCTTTTACTTAAATCAACAATCACTCGACTTAGTTGGCTCGATAATAGATAATCACGGAGTAGGCAGTAGATCTAGACCTCGGGTTGATAATTAGAACTTGCCACTTTACTGCATTCCCGGACTGCGATTACACTTGGTCACAGTTTGGTGTTGTGTTTTAGCGTGTCAAGTTTTTGGTGCAGGTGGTATCGAAGCTGGTTTCAGCCATCGATCGCTCTGAGATGATTGCAGGTACAGGAAAGCCGCAAGCGATGCACTGCCAGTGGTGTGAGAGCTCCCATCACACCGTGGAGGACTTTCAGGCGATGAGGGAGTCGTCTACTCCCCAGGAGCATGTGGACTTCATCGGTAATGCCAGGCGCTTCGACCCCTACAGCAACACTTACAATGAGGGGTGGCGCCAGCATCCTAACTTCTCCTGGGCTGGGGCAAATTCGAGACCACCAGTTCCCCAGGGACCACCAGGCTTCCAGAGGCCTCCTTACCAGCCCAAACAAGGGCAATTTCAGCAGCCGCAGCAGCCTCTCTACCCGGCCAGACAGGGGCCAGTTCCACCCCAGTACAGAGTTACCCGATGGCGGAATTGAGAGATTTGGTGGGTTCTCTAGCCACCTCCAGTGCAAACAAGTTCAATAACATCGAGCAGTTCATGGAGAAAGCTTCAAGTAAGTTCTTGGAGCTAGAAGCTGGTAAGAGAAACACACAGGCTGTGCTGCGGGATATCCAGACCCAGCTTGGGAGTGTTGCCCAGGATGTAGCTCAGAGGACTCTTGGTACTTTACCCGGTCAGACAATCCCTCATCCGCAGGACCCAAATGAGCACTGCAAGGCCATTACTACCAGGAGTGGCAAGATGACAGCTGATCCACCTGTGCGGGCACAAGAGATAGAGACCCCTGCTTCAGCACTTCCAGCTAATGAGGAGGAAATGGAGAAGGAGGTTGAGGTGCCTGCTCCTAAACCGCAACCAGTGGTGAAGGAGTAATTACCACAGCTTCCTTTTCCTACTCGGTTGCACAAGGACCGACTGGAGACTGAGTTTGCCAAATTCATGGCAATGCTAAAGCAGGTAAACAAAAGTATGCCCTTCGTGGAGGCATTATCGAAGATGCCCAAGTATGCCAAGTTCATGAAGGATCTCCTCACCAACAAGAGGAAGCTTGGGGAGCTGTCAACGGTGATGCTCAACGAGGAGTGTTCTGCCATCCTGCAGAACAAACTACCAGAGAAGCGAAAAGACCCAGGGAGTTTTACTATCCCTTGCATAATTGGTAGTTTGCATATAGGGAAGTCCTTGGTGGATTTAGGCGCTAGCATAAATGTCATGCCATATAAACTGTTTAAAAAGCTAGGCCTAGGTGAACCCAGTGATACTAGGATGATCATTCAACTTGCTGATAGATCCATTGTACATCCTAGGGGCATTGCAGAGGACTTGATAGTCGCAGTAGGGCCATTCTCAACCGCAACCTGGACAACCACCACAGAGGACATTCGAATGCAGCAAAATCGAGTAAAGGAGGAGTCTCCATTCTGTTCGCCAACCAACCTAGACTTGACTCAACCACTTACTCAAGACAGTCACCTCATGCACAAAACTCAAAATATCAGAATTGAGACCGAGCAATCTAGGTCCTCACCGGGGTAAAGAGTACAGAGAATACAAGAAAATGAATCGCTCACTCTCGACCAGTGGGGCCAGGACAATTTGATGCGAAAAATGCACATGCTTATTCTCTCAATCCCTAACATCTCTTCACCATGACGGCTGCCTCTAAATGCTAGAGTTCACATATGGGGTGTCACCACTAACTAATCCAGAGGTCTTAGACACAGGTTCAGATGACTGGCTAGGGTTTTGGACATGGGGAAAAGGCCTTTTAGGTGGTGGAAG